GCCCCGGAGGTGACCACATGGCGTGGCAGACCTCTCCTGACCCCCCCGCTGCTCCCCTCAGCAGTGTACTTCATAGATCTGCCTGTTCTGCTCCCCACTCTGTCTCTCGTGAAGCCTCTCACCGCCCCTGAGCCTCTGGCCTGTATCCCAATTCTGTATGCACAAATAAATAAATCTTTAAAAAAAAAAAAATTCAATGTACAGGAAAAGTAAGAATAAAAGGAAATTTAAATCTGACTTGATTATAGCAGAATGACATAATAGAGCTCAACTTAGAGCACTCTTGTAAAAACCGGGAAGGAAAAATACTAAAAAACTTTAAATCCTTTTAGCACAGTTAAATCAATCATTTGGCTTCTCCTAAATACAATTCATATAAAAGGCAGAATACATGCTTATGTTTTAAAATTTTTCAATTACCAATTTTCAGGATATTACGTTTGTGTCATGTACAATGAATTCTGTATTGCTTATATTTTATTTCTGTTGTTATATCTGAGTGTTGTTATGAATTCATGGCTTTTATTAACTCAAAGGGATTTAATGAATTAATGTTATTACTCAATCTAAGGCTCAAGCTATGCAATCTTTGCCCAGAGAGCATCCCTTTAGGTGGCCTACAGACTTTTCCAACAGGTAGAGATAGAAAATAAATATTTTTTTGTGTGTGTGTGGGGGGGGGAAATGAGTTCATTGCCTCAGATTTAAGATGATGGCATTATTTAACTTTTTTGATTCCATACCTGTATTTTTCATTTTTCATTAAAAAGCTTGATTCTAAACGGCAACAATATTACCTATTTGTTTTATCCTACACTGTTCTAAAATACCTTCAAAATAATACCAGTATTATTATAAATGTAAGATTACTAAAGCAAGCATAAGATGTCTTTGTTGTCCCTTTTTTCTATAAGAACATAGCCCACTGTCTTATCCACCGAGAGTATGTGAATAATACTAACTAGACTTGTATGGAGATCATTTCACAATTTAAAAAAATACCTAGTCACTATGTTGCACACCTGAACCAACATATAAGTCAAATATCTCTCAGGGGAAAAAAGGGCACCTATACTGATTCCAGAAGTTGTGTACACATGTACCCTGCACCCCCACCAAGATATACCCACATAACTGCCAAGATTAACCTTAAAAAAAAAAAAAATTGGAAAGACATGGAAACAACCCAAATGCCCCAAAAAATGGATGACTGGATTAAAGAGATGTGGTACATGTACATAGTGAAGTATTACTCAACAACCAAAAAAGTAAATAAATAAATAAACACATGCCTTTTGCAGCAACATGGATGGAGCTGGAAAAGATCATGTTTAGTGAAATAAGCCAGAAAGAAAAGGAAAAATACCGTATGGTTTCACTCATAGCAGGAATATAACAGACCAGGTGAGAAAATTATAATAATGAACAGCTATATACCAGAGACATTTTATGGAGGTGGAGTGGGGAATGGGATCAAAAACAGTGGGAGGAGGGAAATGCACTGGACTATGGTGATGGCACATGGGTGATTTGGTTTTGGGAAACCCACAGGGATTCCAACTGAGATGGAAAAATGCACAAAATGTTGTAAAAATAAACTATTAATTACAAAAAAAAAAAAGGATAGTTTTGATCACAGAGAACAGTCCATTAAGTCCTATTAAGCCAAAAAAAAAAAAAGGGCAGAGCTAGAAGAACCCCAGTTTTGTAAAATACATGTGTTAATACTAATTTTAGTTGTCTTCTTCCCTTGTTTTTTTCCCATTTACTAACATATATACTTTTTTCACCTTAAAAAGAAAAAAGGAATTCTGCAATAACTCAATGTCTGTATATATAGATTTTCTACTTTACTTTCACAACCACCAAACGCCACACATGCCAATGTACTGCAGAATCTAGTTAAAAAATGCAGAATGATAAATTCAGGGGAAAATCATTGGTTTACAACCCACATGAAGTAAATGATTCAGGTAGTAGTCATCTGGAACAGATGATAAACAGACAGCAAAAGAAGATGAAGCCACCAGGTGAAAGCTTAACAAGGATCTTCACAATGAAGGGATCAGGGCATGTCTGCTGAGTCCACTAGGGAACCCCAGCAACACTAAAGTAAGACAGCCAGATGTCTGTGCGAGGGGCACAGTCAAAATAAATCAGTCTGACTTATACAAATAAACAAATGAAGTAATAAATTTGAACATAATCAAACCATTATATCTAATTCCCAGGGACAGGTTAAATCACAATATATGAAGTGAACAGCAAAATCCAGAATGAGGGATGATATTCTATAAGACAACAGATAATTTCTTTCTCAAAAGATAAACGCATGAAAACATGGGGATGGAGACTGCTTCAAATTAAAAAAGATAGTTAAGAGACAGAAGCAAACGTAATCAGCAAACCTGCTTGGACCATGTTGGATATTCATGTTTATCCACTTTGAATATGTCATCCAGATGCCCATCTCTTTACTGGCTTCCAGTCAGTAAAGCAAAGCAAGAAAGGCTGGTACTTGTCTGCTTCATTTTACTTATTTACATTTTTCTTTTAAAAAAAAAACACATTTATTCTGTGTTATGATCAGATTATGATATTTGGCCATTAAAAGCATGGGTGCAAAAAAAAGTGATTTACATTAAAATCCTATGTTGAAATGCTTTATACTTTGCACAGAACAGAAACTGAAACAACCTGTTACACAATTAGACACAGACAGTCCTCAAGTGTTCTGCCCAAACACGTGAACAGAACGCTGTCTGAAATGTGTCTTCTCTGTGCAGCGAGGCCCTGCCACCACTGCGCTCAGCTGAGTTTTCAAGGCTGCTGTGACCTGTAGCTTCCCCATCACCTCCCTGGCTCTCTCCTACTGAGCCTTATTTCCTTCCTAGCAGTTGACAAAAACCTTTTCCCATTGCCTCAGCTACAGCTGCTGCTGGAACCTCCTTGTCACCTTGGCTTTGTGAAAAGTAATGGCCACCGTCACAGGGGCCAGAGCTTCCGCCTCTGAAGTTTCCTTCTCTCACGGGTCCAAAATTTGAAGATTGATTGTTGTAACTGCCAAAATGACTGCAGGTCCCACCACCTCCAAATTGCTTCACTACAAAATCCATGAGAGCCATCGCTACATGGCTGCCATCAAAGCCACCTCTACCACTGTCACTTCCACCAAAATTACCTCCATGACCACCACCAAAATTTCCAGAGCCACCTCAACCACTTTGGCTAGACGAAGCACTGGCCACCTTTTGCTTGTACAGGGCCTTTCATTTTTAGTTTAAAATCAATCTCTTAACTTTTCCAAAATAATCTCCCAAATTAAAAGAGAAAACAGTAATACTTTCCATTCTCCTATGGCAAGGATCAGTAAACTTTTCTGAAAGGCAGATAGTTAATATTTTCAAGTCTGAAGAGCCCTATGGCCTCTTGCACGTGTTTAATTCATCCACAGTAGTGCAAAAGCTGCCACAGATAGTACATGAAAAAGGTCCAGGGCTCTGTTCCAATACATGTTTGTTTACAGAAGAAGGCAGCAGGCCAGATTTGGCCAGAGGATCTTCTCTTGTGTCATGAGAGAGAACTGCTTCCTATTTCAAAACAATTATTTCATTGCCCAACATTTCCTCTCAGAACCAAATTCTTCTTTTATACTTGGTTTTTAACATCAAAATGTAGAACTAAACTATACATTGATATTATGATCCCAAATAGGAATTTGCCTAAACATAAGGGTAAAAGAAAAATGACTTTAATAATGTCAAGTTATTTTAGTTTATAAAATGACTATATAAGGGCCCTCCCTGGTGGTACAACCAGTTAATGCACAGCAATATGAATCTATCTACAGCTACTGCAGCACGAGTTTGATCCCCGGCCAGGGAGTGAACCACATGGCCCAGCAGACCTCTCCTGTCTCCTCACTGCTCCCCTCAGCAGTGTACCTCGTCAGTCTGCCTGTTCGGCTCCTCACTTTGGCTCTGTCTCTGGTGAATCCTTTCACTGTCCCTGCACCTCTGCCCCAGTTCTCTATGCAAAAATAAGTAAATCTTAAAAAAAAAAAAAAAGACTATAAAAGTGTTTCATCTGGACTAATAAAGAAAAATAAAAAAGGAGGTAGGAAATCAGTATCAACCAACAATACTTCTCTCACTGTCCTTCAGCACCTCAATTCTAAAACTCCAAAAACAATGCTTTTCCTATTCCCCTCTACCATTCACTGTTCACTCGCCATATGATACACCTTCAAAGGTTAGCTTACTAAGAGCAGTTTTTCATTTTAAGTAGAATGCTTTTGCCATATTAAGTCAATTCCTAATATTTTATTTCTTCTCAATAAATATAAGTGAATTTGGGAAGATATAAAGGTGGAAATAGCTAACTTACTGTTAAACAGACATGGTATTTCAGAGGTAACTCCAAAATAACCAGGTCAGCCCTGCGCAGTAGTTACTGAGATCAAGTATTGATAAGCATGTGTGTGGATGGAGACTTTCACAAATCTCAGCTAAATGTTAGAGAAATTTCTTACAATTACATTTTGAAACCCAAACACCAATCACATTAACACCAAATCTTTTGTGAGGGGGATGCCAGATTAGTAACATGTATTTTTTAAAAACTTACTTTTATTATAAGGAAATAAACGTTAGTACCTATACATTATAGAGATTTTAAAAAATAGAAGAGCAAAGGAAAGAAAAAAACATAGCTAACCTTTTGATTTGATTCAGATTTAACCTCTTCAACAGGTTGGTGTTCATATTTCCTTACATCTTTCATTACATGTACATATATTTAAAAAACTGGAATCAAATTCTAGGGACGTCTGGCCTTGGCTTATCTGTGTTTGCACCTACGACCCTTCTGAAGCACCAGGCATCTATTAGAATTCCACAACTTTAAGAACTATGACATGTTTGTAGGAATAATACACACTTGCGCATACTGCTGGAACCCAGAACACACTGGGCTGCTGGGCTGTGGTCCAGAAGGAAGTGGTGCCGCAGCGTTCTGGTAGCCAGGCTGCAGCGTCGGATAGCCATACCCAAATGGCTTCACCAGTTTTGCAGGCTGGGAAGTCGTGGGAGCAGGTACTGGCCCGGGCTCAGGTTCAGGAGCATGATCGGGTGCAGGGCTGCTTGCTGATGACGAAAGCATATCTGACAAAGGAAACATATGTTCTGACTTTAGACAGGGCTCACTCTACGAAGAGACTCCTGATAAATCCTAACTTTAGGCTTTTCCCTTTTTCTTTTTTTGACTTTTTGTTAAGAGAAAATTGCAATGCAAACAAAAGGAGGAAACAGAATGATGAACTCAATGTACTGATCATTCAGCTTCAATAATCACTAATATTTTGCTATTTCTGTTTCACATGTTCCACCCCAGTTTTATTTACAGGAGTATTTGCAAGAAAACCTTATATTTCACATCTTTTACCAGTAAATACTGGTATTTGTACTTTTTTTCCCAAGTGGAATGGTGCTGAAAAGCAGAAAACTAAATACAGCAATAAAAAAGGTGTCACCTATTCTTTAACTCTGTCATTAGATCTTGCCATCTGTGAAAGGAAGTTCATAGAGAGTAGTATATTCCCCAAAACTCCCTAGAAGTAAGTATCATCTGTACTATGAAAAGTCCAACAATATCGAGAATATTATCTAACTCCTAAAACAATATCTGGTATGTAACAGGTGTCAAAGTTAAATGCCTTTCCCTTATTTAAATCTAAATTTGGTTAAAAGCTAAAATTTGGTTAAAAATCAAAATAAAAAAGCCCAAAAACTAGAGAGTGAGTCAACATGACCAACGGTGTGAAGGACACAGACAATGCAATCTGTAAGACGCTACTGAAGAATTTTATAGGTATCTTAAGATCATGACTAAAAGAAAACGAAAAAACATTCCTTGCTGGATGAGGAGAATCAAATCAACATTCACTCTCTCTCTCTCTCTCTCTCACACACACACACACACATACAAACAGGGTGCAGTGGGGTGAATTCTTAGACATAAAAACTAAGTAGTTACAGTATTCTGGAAACAGTATAAGAGAATTCTAAACTGAAATTAAATATTTTGACGGATTAATAGGATAGTGGTTGCAAAAAAGTGTATTTAGTTAAGGACAGCATTCTGCAACTTCAATTAAGTGTCTTCCTGGATTATTAATGGTGAAGAAGAGCAAAATATCTTTACTCTCTTAGGTCGGAAAGTATATGATCATTAACATAAGAGAGAAAGGGGTGGATACGTGCTGCCCTTAGGTTGTTAGTGACAGAGAAAGGTGAATAAGGAAAACCACAGCTTAAAGTATAATGAAATGACATTAATTTTAAAAGGTAATCTTGCATATATTTTTCTTGTAATACTACCTACAACTCCTGTTCCTATGTAATGACCAAAGCTATTTCATGTTACAGTTAAATAAATCCCTCCAAAATCTACTGCCACATTGTTTTTAATCTTTTTTTTTTTTTAGATTTATTTATTTGTACATGCAGAACTGGGGTACAGGCCACAGGCTCAGGGGCGGTGAGAGGCTTCACCAGAGACAGAGTGGGGAGCAGAACAGGCAGATCGATGAAGTACACTGCTGAGGGGAGCAGCGGGCAAATCAGGAGAGGTCTGCCACGCCATGTGGTCACCTCCAGGGCAGGCGGGAATCGAACTCATGCGGAAGTGGCTCTAGCTTCTCAGTGCAGTGCTTTAACCCGCTGTGCCACCAGGGAGGGCCCTGTTTTTAATCTTTTTATCTGGAGGATGCAGCCAGGAGCCATGGGGAAGTAGAGAGGCAAAGACTGCTTATAGTCATAGGCTAGTTGTAAGGATGTGATTTACTTATGGAGTTACTAGCATAAGAAAAGGAGGGGGGAAGTAGAGGAAAATGACTTACTAGAAAAAATCTTTTCAAGGAAGAGGAAAAACAGAAAGAACATGATAACACAAGAAAATAGTAGATATCCTTAGGCCTTCCAGAAACAACATTCATAGTAGTTACAAGACAATGAATACTACTAAGGCTTAGAAGTATCAGGAAAATGCCCATTTCTGTTTGCTTGTTTGTTTTTAAACAGGTTTCCTAGTTATGTGTGATAATGCTTCAAGACAACTGAGGCCATTACATTTCAAACAGCTCCAGCAAGCACAGAGCACATTACCTGGGTAGTTGCCTCCCTCCAGGGCGTCGTAACTGTTGGGCACAGGGGACGCACTGCTTGTGGTAGAGGAGCTGTCAACACCTAGAGGAAAACACAGAGTCTACTAAGCTAAAATGGAAGTTGAAGTGTACAGCAGCCTTGAACAATTGTGAAAAAGAGGTTATGCTGAACTAGGAAATTACTAACTCTTGAACAAAAATAGAATGACTGATAATGAAGACATTTTCAAAAACGTAAGAACAAAGAGAGAAGGACGTACAATGGATAATGCTGGAGGACCATGGGTAAGTTGGTGGCAGGTACACTATGGTGGCTAATGCCTAGTAGGGGTAGGCGCCATTACCTCAGTTTTTTTTTTTTTTTTAAAGATTTATTTATTTATTCATACAGAACTGGGGTACAGGCCAGAGATACGGAGGGTGAGAGGATTCACCAGAGACAGAGAGGGAAGCAGAACAGGCAGATCGATGAAGTACACTGCTGAGGGGAGCAGCGGGCGGGTCAGGAGAGGTCTGCCACGCCATGTGGTCACCTCCGGGGCAGGCGGGGATCGAACTCATGCGGAAGTGGCTTTAGTTTCTCATTGCAGTGCTTTAACCCGCTGCGCCACCAGGGAGGGCCTACCTCAGTTTTTAAAAAAATAAAAGCAGCTAAAAAGTAAACATTGAAATAGAATTTAATGAAGCACGTGTGAAGGCATCTGAGAGAACTGACATCAAACTATTAGAAGAAGTGAAACACAAATATAAATTTTAGATTAAGAGAAACATAGGTATAGTCACACTTCAAAGACTGTATCTACCAAATCTCAAGTTATCAAACACATCAGCATTAAGGTATTTTAAGGGAATTAAATTTCAGTGAATGTTATATAACACAGCCCAACTATGGCTTGAATTGCTACCTAGCACGCTACTAAGCTTTTCTGTCTTGGTGCGTTCCTCTGAAGAATACAGATTAAAGAGTACTTGCCACATGTAATAAGAAAAGAACTTGTACTAAATGAAAGATACTCTAGTAAGTATTAAGCGTTCAACTATAAGAATATTATTATGTGTGTTCATGCAAAACCTCTAAGGTTAAAAGTACTTTTCAGTAGTGATTAGTTAAGAAATTCAAAGGCAAGTCACACAGCCAGCAGAACATACAATATACTTTCATTCATTCACTCAGAATATTTTATTGAGAACCTACAGTTACTCTGGGTAGATAATGCTAGAGGGTATCATGATAAATAAACCTGAAATGTACAGGGTCCTTCTCTTGACTGGAGCTCTTTGCACGGAAAAATAGTAAAATTGTGGTTTAAACCACAGAAGATTCTAGGTTAATTTTCAACTGTCATATATAAAAAGAACAGATATGTGTAATTGTCCTTCACTGGATAATTCTGGACAACTAACTAAGAATCAGACATTGCTTCAGAGCACAGTAGCTAAAGCTTTTGCACAGAGCATTTTCTTAAACAAGAACATTATTTACAAGCAGTCACATCAGATTGTGTCACCTACATGCTATATCACTTTAGGGAAGTGGCAGTCATCAATATTCTCTTCTGCAAAATGAGAATAATTTTAGAAATGGCCTATGTATGTTCTTCATTATTCTTGTGAGGCTTAAATGAGACAGTGAGTATAAAGCAATTTGGAAAGGAGAGAAATAAAAGAAATTACAAGTGAAAAACACTAATGAAGCTGACATAAAAGGTCAAAAGTCTTGAAGTAATAGCATAGAAAGTAAAGCACTGAAAACCAACACCCATCAACAGCTGGACAGCTCTGCAGCAGGACCTGTCAGGGCGAGGCCCTGTACTGACAAGGCTCCCCGTGAGCAGCCTTAAAGATCCGCTTTTAGACAGATTAGACTGGAGGCCGCCAGCATTTAGGGGGAGGGAAATGGAAAGTCACTGTGCAGTTGGTACTGAAATGATAAAACTTTTTAGTTCTGCCAACTTCAGTACATTCAGCCAGAAGTAGCAAAGTGGTGGTGCCACAACCTGTTACTGCACTGACTGCCACTAAGCTGAACACTCTACAATGGCTCCTTTGATGTTTTGTGACTTTCACCTCAAAACAAAACAGAATGCCGAGACACTGATGGGAAACGCATTTTCTTTTCAACAAATGACGTTAACAACTAGATATCCAGATGCAGAAGAGTGAAGTTACAACACTTCTACCTACACTAAGATGAACCCAAAATGGATCAAAGACCAAATATAAGCTTCAAAACTGTAAAGTTTTAGCTTAGAATAGATATAGGAGAAAATCTCTATGACTTTGGATTAGGTGACATAACTTATTTTCAGATATGACATCAAAGACACAAGCAACAAAAGATAAATTGGACTTTTATGCTTTGAATGATACTAATAAGAAAGTGAAGAGACAATCCATAGAATGTGAGAATATATTTACAAACTATGTTTCTATAGGTATGTGTTTGTATCCAAAATATACAAAGAAGGTTATAACTCAACAATTAAAAGGCAATAACCAAATAAAAAATTGACAAAGGGCTTAGTTCATAAAGACAATAACAAATGGTCAATATGAAAAGAAAAACACATGAAAAGATGTTTAACATTACTGGTCATTACAGAAATAGAAGTCAAAGCCACATGAGCTACCACTTCACACCCAGTAGGATGGTTAGAGTTAAAATGACAGGAAAAAAAGCAAGTTTCAGCAAGAATGTAGAGCAACTGGAACTCTCATGGATTAAAAGAGGTATAGCCACACTGGAAGAGTTTGAAGGTTTCACCAGTTACCACATGATTCAGAAGTTTCACTCAAAAGAAACGAAAATGTACCGCCTGCAAAAGCATGAATATTAATGGCCACATTGTAAGAACCAAAAAGTGAAAACAACTCAAAGGTCCATCCACAGACAAATAGGAAACAAAAAGAACAAAGGTCTAATAGATGCCATCGTGTGGCGTACCCTTGAAAACGTTATGCTAAGAAAAAGTGGGTCACACAAAACCCACGTAAGATAAAAATTAGAGGCGACTATTTAGAGCTGTGTGTGTCTGTAGGAGAGAGATTACTGACAGACAGGTGGGCAGCTGCTACCTGGTGGTGGGGGAGGGATGAAAATGCTAAGAAGTACATTGGGATGGTTACTGACCTTAATGTACTGAAGGCTGTCATATAGTACAATTTAAACGAGTGGATTTTATGTACCTCATATTACATTTCAAAAAGACTTTCATTAAAAAATTGCACAGTATTCTCTGTTTAAAAAAAAACTTTAATATAAACATTAAGAAATACCTACCCTGGGCCCTCCCTGGTGGTGCAGCAAGTTAGGTAAAGCACAGCACCGCTAAAAGGCCCCAGCTGCCTCAATCCAAGTTCGATCCCCGCCCCGGAGGTGACCCACATGGCCCGGCAGACCTCTCCTGACCCGCCCGCTGCTCCCCTCAGCAGTGTGCTTCGTCGATCTGCCTGTTCTGCTTCCCATTCTGTCTCTGGTGAAGCCTCTTGCCGCCCCTGAGCCTTTATGCTTAGAAAAATCTTAAAAAAAAAAAAAAAAAAACCTATCCTTGGGAAAAGGTACAAAAATAAATACTATACATACTAAATTACTTTAAAGAACACAGCACCCATTACTTATATTGCTTGGCTTCTTTCAATTCAAATGCAATAAAAATATTACATATCAAAAATATTTAAAAGTATTACCTATTCCAGTAATTCTATTACTATGAACTTTATTATTCCTCAAAAATACTTATTGCTTATTTAGTGAATAAATAATAATTTGAAACCCAGTAGCTTTCTTTAAAATTCACTTTCAGAAGAAAAGGAAATCTCTATAAATCCAGATGAACTGCCAAGCAAACAGACTTAGACTTTGTAAAAACTTCATATTCAGATTAATGAATTGAATTAGTACTCGGTAATAAGTTACATTGCAAAATTTAGATGCTAGTTCTGCACATGCTGAGAAACACCTCCACTACTCCCCCTGCCATCTTACAGAGTAAGGTCTTAGTGCCTTTTTACTGTTCTAGAAGGAACTTCATACTTTTCTCTTATCCTATTCACCTATTCCTGCAACATCTTCCTTCTTTGATCTAAGCACACACTCATGTGTCACTGCTGGCTCTCCACCCAGTACTCTGTCTCTTCTTGTGTTCATGCACTGCACGTGCTGGTCTGTTAGCCTAAACCTCCTTTCTCCATATGGCAAATCCCTACACATCCACAGATTTCCAGTCGGAAACCTTTCTGATACACCCATGAACACTCGTTTCCTCTCCAGGTGGGTACATTCCCCGAGTCTATTACAATGCACTGTCAAGCTGCTCTGCAACATGTGTGGCGACTGCTAGGTAGCTCTGCTGTGAACCCTGGATTTCTGCACGGGCTGGTTCAGCTGAATGAATGGCGTGGGGGTTTGTTTATACTAGTTTCCCCCAGTCACTTCACACCACACCTTCTGACAGTGAATATTTTGATCAAAGAGGGGCAAGTATGAATAGGATGCTTAGAAGACTGGTCCTTTATCCTTTCCTTGGTTCCATGGCACAGGTAAGGGAAGACTAGGGAAAAGATGAAAAGAAGGGAAATTGAATCTGAGGAAGCAAAGAGGAAGAACAAAAGAACAGCTCAGAATCCAGCAGCAGGATGCACTGAGGCCTAGAAGAGGAATCCGCTCTCTCCCTCTGAAAGACAAGCAACAGGGCCAGCGAAGCATAATGTACTCACTACTATCGCTAAACTTGACACTGACCAGATAGTTTGAGATTTTACATCCTCATAACTTGCATAAAACATGGCAACAGTGAAAGTCAAATTCTACCTCCATCACTTACCAGGTTAGAGAAAATGGAAGAGACACCTCCTCACCTGAATAAAAACCCTCACCCCCTGGGGTTACTGTAAAGATGAAACGGGTTCTCAAAGCTCTCACCCCACCATGCTACCTCAGTTCTTCCAAATCTTCAAACCTCTGTCCCCAGACTCACCAATGTTCCCCAAATAGAGCATCTTCTCTTCAGCCTCTCACTTTGTTTTAGGAAGTGTTTCTGCCTCACCCCAGAACCCTTTCCTAACTCCAGCTTCTTTTAGATT